ACGGACGACGGACGACGACGGACGAAAACGGATAGCAATAGGTCACTTGAGCTAAAGCTCAGGTGACCTAAAAACCTCAGGAGTTTCACAACCCAAGCAAGGGGAACTCACCGTCATCAGATAGGATGTGTGAACCACAAGGATGCTCTTGATCCACTTGACAAGCTTGTGGGAACTGAAACAAACAAAACATTAGGTCAACATAATGGAAAACTAGAGCCCTGAGAGTTATAGGCAGCTCAATTTCATTGAGATGTGAAGTTGAAATCAACCGTATTGTCATTTCAAAAACGGTGCACATTATACGCTGGAACAGTTTATTCTTGGGTTATCGTTTCTGGTCCGCCATATTGGGTTACCTCCCCTCAAATTTTTTTTTTTTGGAGTCGTCGGTCATATATGATAGATTGAAGATTAAACTAGAATTATGTCAGTGTGACATTAAAGCCGCTCACCACTTTAAATTTAATTGCTTCAGTAACACGTTGAGCATCAATATCTACTATAATACATCAGATATTTGTTCTGTATTCTGCTAATTGAAAATCAGGTCATGTGATGATGTTGCCTTTGGAAATTCCAATATCAATCACTTCTTAAATGATGCCTTAAAAACATTCTCCCTCCCCTGTTTTTTCACCCTCTTTTGTGACGCATTGTTGTAATTTTCATTTATTAGCATCCTCCGATGATGTGACATGACCCTCATGAAAAAAAATTGCTGATTTTTACTGATTTGCTGAGAATTTGCTGAACAGTTGCTGAACAGTTGCTGAAAATTTGCTGAAACTAAATTCAGATGCTGAACCATTGCTTACACAGTTTCTAGATGCTGAACTTAACTGAAAAATGCTGAAAACTGCTGAACAGTTCAGGATAATGCTGAAAAATGCTGAACTGTTCATGTTATAATGCTGAAAAATGCTGAACTGTTCAGGATAATGCTGAAAAATGCTGAACTGTTCAGGATAATGCTGAAAAATGCTGAACTGTTCTGTAAAAAAAATTAAGCCATTGTTTTCGAGAATAAAAGAAATGAGAATTAAATGCTCATGAAACTAGTTTTTATGATCATTAAATTAAAAAATATTTTTTTAATGATCATTTATTAACTGAAACAAGTGTAGTTAGAAGAAAGTTGATGGTCAAAGCTTATACAATCATATCTCCCGCGTTTAATATACTAAATGGATAAAGTCCGAGAGATCCGAGTAAATACTATGTGGATGACTCCCGAGTATTACCGAAAAGATAAACAAATATGGCTGCCGTAGAAGACGAACCGCTATGTCAGAGACAAACTTTCGACTCTAATGGACTATAAAAGTTCAGACAGTATGATTAAATGGAATACACATGACAAGTATAATGTTATCTTAACACGCTGAACAACTGTTATGAGTATAAACGTGTGTTTCCCGTAAAAATACAGATTACACATAGCGGTGGACTTATCGTCTGCTCATACACATTGATTGGTTCAATATGCAGTCTTCACCTCGCATTTAATCACTTATATCGTTAATTTATAGACTCACAACATAATACTACGATCTTATTTGAATGGAATACTTGTATCATGTTACAATTTGATGAAATACAACAATATGAGATCATTTACACCCGAATTCCCGTAACAATAAGAGTACAGATTTCGGTGTTCACATCAGACTATGTAAGCTTTCAGCATACGAATCTTGGTAATTACACACTTCAACATCTCACATTATGATTTAAAATAGCATACGTATAGGATGACACAATCTCATAAATTATAACAATCTCAAAAGTATTCAATATGAAATTCGTGTACAATAATGGAACAATAATACTGTCACTTTCTAACTACATGTACAAGACTAATTCCTGTAGGAACTCTATCTAAATCAGAGATTTATAACGATCTATCGTTATATATCTCGGATTTAGATAGAGTTCCTACAGGAATTAGTTCAAGACATGATCACACAAATATAGATATATAGTTACTAATATGTACTTCATTCACTGACCATATGTAACTAGTGATCATCAGGGTTTGTGTAATTCATGCCTCCTTAAGATTTGCTAAGGTTTGCTTATGCAAAGCAGTTGGCTTTGCTGAAACATTTCTGAATTGTTCCTGAAATTTGCTGAAACATTAAAATTTGCTGAAACATTCCTGTAATTTGCTGGTATAATTCCTGAACTTTGCTGAAACATTCCTGAAATTTGCTGAAACATTCCTGTAATTTGCTGGTATAGTTCCTGAACTTTGCTGAAACATTGCTGAACTTTGCTGAAATACATTTGCTGAATTTTGCTGAAAAATGCCTGGATTTGGGCCAAATTCAGGTATATTTCAGCAACTGCCCTATGTGGGTTTTCAGCATTCGTTCAGCAAAGTGTTCAGCAAAAATTCAGTAAAATGTTCAGCAAAAATTCAGCACTTTTTTTTCATGGGGGGAGCATTTCCGTGCATAATGGCAATCGGTGAATGGATAATAAAGAATAGGTGCATTTCGTGCTTGTGAAATGAAGGATAATTAACAGTAGTGGGAAAACATGCATGGAGAAAAGAGACATTGTACTCTTTTTATTTTTATTTATTTTTTATTCATATTAATAATAATTATTTATATATGTAGTGACTTTTTTTACTGTCATTGAATATGCAAAATCTCACAAATGTTCTTGGAATATATTTGAATTATATTTCTCAATGCGACTTTACCAACATAAGAGTTATTTCCCTTACACCGGGTTGGATAATATTTTGACACGGCGCGAATTCTTGTCAAACAGCAGCGGCAGTTGTGTCATGCTCTTAAATTGTTACATTTTCATAAATAAATACACCAGAAAAGGCATGCTGTGTTACAGAAATGTTTGAAAAGCATACACAGTTCACATATCGTCTCGGCTCAGAGCCATTACCATTATCAACCTAAGCACGATATGTCTTATTACGTTCCCGTTTTAAACATCAAAATAACGGTTATACTTCATCACTTATACGGTTTATAAGTATATATATTTACTTCTTCCTTCTACAGACAGCGTCAATGCTTGACAGTCTTCACATGTGCTTTCTCGAATCATATGTGTTTAACACGCGTAAACCTCCTCAGACCTCAATCCGAGTTGCTGAAACGCTCAAATCCAGTGCACAAATTTCACCACCACAACACTCGTAGAATGCACTGGAGATAAACATTTTGTTTTCAGCAATTATTTAAAGTATGGATTATTATTTGGAGAAGAGTATCAGAAGATTTTATGTAACCCACAGGAGAGTGTCAGAGATATTTTTCCTATGTACAGATTTCTTCCTTCTTTAACTAAGCAAATAAGAATTGTTTAATATGATATGGTTCAAGGTGGGACCCTGCTTATTATATTTTTTTGTCATGAATGGATTTTTATGAGGTAAAAACTGCAGTAGGTTGTGGGTGTGCGACACGTGGACAACAAGGTCCAGCTAATTGTACATCACCCCAGGTGATTGTTACACAGCATGCAGGTCACATCTTCCTTCACCACAGTCAGTGGAAAACAATAGATCCACCTTCGCATGCTGGTCATATATTTTAACAAAACATTTGTGGTAGTTAATTGTAAATGATTAGGACCTTATAGGTCTACCAAATTTTCTAGCATAAATTCTGATAAGAAATTGAGTAGCATTTCATAAATATTCATGGTTACCTTGACACGTCATGTGAGAAAGTCATGTTGATTTCAATGAAAATATGACTTCAGAAGGAAGTCGTGTGTTTTTAATCATTTAAACAATGGTTTCCCTATCATATTACAAGTTACTGTCTCCTGTCTCCATTGAAAAAGTGTCCAGATAGCATAACATTACGACGGCAAAATGAAATTGTCTCAAATTTTTCAAACACATCGAATAAATAACAATTTATTGTCAATTTATTTCATAAATTACAATATCAATTTGTATTAATATCTTACCATGTTTCTACATTTATCTATGTCTGATGATTAAAGGGCATCTCACTTTGAAAACTGCTTGATCATTTATTATAATATATTGGTTATTATAATATTTTTCTCTGGCAAACAGAACATCATAATAAGCAGTGTATTATTTTTGCAAGTAAAGCATCTACACGACAAAGAGTAAGAGTTCATAATAAAGTTTTCTTGTGTGGTGCGGTTCTAAGCACGTGAAACACTGATGATATAGGATTCAATGGAGTATTTTCAGTGATATATGTTTTATTTTGGATACAACTTCGCCGAGTTTCAAAGTCTTCAGGTTAGTGCGTTTGATTTTCTATATAGGCTGCCGATCAGGGTGCACGGTGTACTGAATCGCAACGAGGTCAGAGGTAAAATGATAACCAGTTTGACAGGTAATGTGCTTTTTATACCCGGTGAGACCCATACTCATTACCAAGCAAGCACAAACTAAAATGTTGGATCTTCTTAGAAACCACAGCCTCTTGTTTTACACTGAGAATCTCAACAACATTTTTTTTTTTTTTATCTATATTGAAAGCTTTTTAACTTGCACTGTCAGTTTTAACATTATTTGTACAGGCTGTTCGGCAAGGTAAATTAACAAGAGATCCAAGAAGGATTCTAGCACCAACCATCGTAAAGGGACTATTTCCAGCTATGTTAAATTTACATAGGAGCCTGCATACCCTCTCATAACTTTAGGTTCAGAAGTGCTACGAGATTTACAATGTTAGTATCAATGTCAATGTTCAATTCGGCCTCACCTGCCTAGGGCACAAAGACGTTCATCGGAAAGTTACATAATTATTATGTTACACCAAAGTATTTCCACATCAACCATGTCAAACCCTTCAAAACCTTTATTATCATCGTAGGTGACCCTGGATAATAAATGTTTACCATTGTATTTTTTTCGATTTGAAATTCTCTCGCACACCTTTGGTTATTACTAGGGTACACTGCTGGGAATATTTAAAGTAATGACAAAACAACCTTCTACTATACGCGTTCGGGTTTCGTATAGCAACAATCCAATTTCACACTTCCTGTTTACTGATAAAGTGCATAGCACTGACGATCCGACTTTTCTGAACGGCATATGCCGTGCGTAACAGCCTAAGGGTTAATGTCATATCCTTGTCACTTTTTAGAATTTGTTCTTATAAATTTGATCATCAGACTTTCGTTTTTACATTGCTTTTAGGGGATTTTTTATACTCATTTGTTAATATTCATCTCATAATGACGAGTAAATGTATTAGTTAAGGTCGCCATCGTATCTTTGCAAAATCTCCTAAATGTAAAGGTACACAAAATGTAAAAAAAGGTCCATAATATTAATGGCTTTTCGTTTTACTGATTAAAAGTGGCATATATTGCTCAAATGAAGAAGTTAATATTTGTCCGAAGTGCTACATAAGGTATCTGCACAATCTGAAAAAGAATGTTTTGAAGATGAAACTATTAGAAATTTTCCTCTCTTAACAATCAAGGTCTTGTTTTACGGGTCCTGTTCACATAAAAAATGTTGTTTTTGTTTTAACAATTTTAATTTGAAGGGAAGCAAATCCACAATTCTGCAAAAACGTGGAATCAGTTAATCTTTACACACAAATTGTGGTGTTCTGCGTCATCACATGTATTCTTATTTCTTCTAATTGGCAATGACCTGAATGAACCCTTGTACACTAGGGATGTCACAGTTAACCGAAATAACGGTTAAACGCGGTTCAAAAGACCACGGTTCGGTTCGGTTCGGTTCATAATTTCCTAATTTCGGTTCGGTTCTGTATAAGTGGGTCGTAGTTGTTTGGTATCAGCAAAGGCGTGTATTATTTGTGTCATATCTCGATCGATACACGCCCCTGACTCCATAGTTATGCAACCGCAATAATACGTATGACTGTGCACAAGGCGGTAACTGAACACTGGATATATATGTACAAACACAAATTAAACACTTCTCAGGATTTACCTCTTCAATCAATGTCGGCCTATATTTCTGATATAACTTTGAAATCAGCAGCTACGAACAAACTGGATTCAACACATGGGCCCAATGCAGAAAACATGATAACACCGTGTTGTGAACACGAGGCCATTGCCTTGAAAAAGTTTTACAAACGACTTTAACCCGATTTCATAGCGGTATATTTATGTATATTATGTACGATATGATGAATTAGATCCCGTAAAGTAAACCAATTTAACAATTTTATTTTTATTTTATGATTCTAGTCAGATTGTCAAAACGTAAGTGCATGGGCAACATGCAAAAGTTACATGCATAATAAACAAGAGGTAGGTTAGCGCTAGCAACTTAGTTAAAATGGAGACTGAAATGTTTGCAGACCATGATATAACAAGAGGCCCAATGGGCCTGCATCGCTCACCTGGTATTAATCTCACACTTGTAATCTTAAACGTGGACTAAAATACAGCTAGAGGCAGAATAACAGTGTTTGATTCATAAGAACCTATTAAAAGATTTAAACATATGACGACTGTGACCTTGAATGTCATACAAGGACACTAGGTTGAACAGATTTTATAGTCTTCCAACCCAGCATGCTTTTGCCAAAATATCATTACCCTTACCCTTTTGGTTATACAGAACAAGTCATTTAAAGATTTAAACATATATTGACCACTGTGACCTTGAATGTGGGTGAAGGTCATTCATTTGAACAAATTGGTAGCCCTTCATCCCAGCATGTTACTTGCCAAATATCATTATCCTAGGTCTCTTAGTTATTCAGAAGAAGTTGTATAAAGATTTTTTTAAGACAATTGACCCCTGTGGCCTTGAAAATGACTGAAGGTCATTCATTTGAACAAACTTGGTAGCCCTTCATCCCAGCATGCTACTGGCCAAATATCATCACCCTGGGCGTTTTGGTTATTCAGAAGAAGTTGTTTAAAGTTTTTAACATATTTGACCCCTGTGACCTTGAAAATAAGTGAAGGTCATTTATTTGAACAAACTTTGTAGCCCTTCATCCCAGTTTGCTTCTGGCCAAATATCATCAGCCTAGGACTTGCGGTTATTAAGAAGAAGTTGTTTAAAGTAAAATATTGACGCCGGACGTCGGACGACAGCCGGACGGACGGCAACAGACGCTGCACCATGCCATAAGCTCATTTGGCCCTTCGGGCCAGGTGAGCTAATAAAGGAAAGAACATGATTGTCCAGTAAGTACATAGATTGTGCAATGGAGACTAAGATATTTGCATGATATAATGAAGGAAATATATATTACATAGATATTTCAACAAGTCAACTTAAGATGGGACAGTTGTGGACATTGAAATACCTAATACAAGTGACAGATTCTTCGTGTTAGTATCTTTTATACTCAATACCCTCAGAAGAGGACTAGTAGACAATTGTATATAACTGTTTTAAGTGCGTACATAATGAAGTTTGTTGACGTATTCTACCGGTGATTGTGTATATAAAATACATAGATTACAAAGTTGCCTTAACCGAACGGAAATAACCGAAAACCGATAACAAAAATGATAACCGAACCAAACTGAAAAATTCCTGAACCGTGACATCCCTATTGTACACAGGTTATACTATAAGGAAGAGGGTGTTTGAATTCTCAATTATGGTTTAGGTCATCTGAAATAATTGATGACCATTTAGAAGTGTCATACATCTTATCAAAGAATCAATTAGCCTTCACTCTCAATTTTTGTCTCTTGGATGACCCTGACAGCAAAGCTTGGACAGGTTGATCAAAAACTTTTTCTCAAAATCCATTCCTACTTTGTCACTTTTCATTCTTCTTCAGTATAGATCAAAACTACACAAAATGCTCTTTTACTGTTTTGGGTTATGATGAAAACTGATATCTGTTGTAATTTAGTGTTCGGCTCTTTTTGTCATTTCCCTGTCTAGTATTTTAAAAACCTTTCATTCTGTAGTACAAGCATTGAATATATCTATAGTTCCAGTGTTCCTTGGTCCTTACCATTTGAGAAAGGAACATATACTTTCACACAACACTTTATCTGTCTGTTCACATGTTACAAGGTAACTTTACAATATTGCTTAACAAAATTTGATAAAATTTAATACAAACAAGAAAGATACATATTGAATTTTTAGTTAATTGCTATTTATTTGACAGAAAACTCTGAAACTCTGCTCTTCCTTTCAGACCCACCCACTTGCAATCCAAGTGAGTGTTTTCCTGTACTATCAGGACCATTTCAACTGTATTAACTAAAGAGGTCAAAGATTCACTAAAGAATCTGAGCTTACCCTGCTGCACGTCCCTGCATCAGTGTTGTAAGATGCTGTATAAGCGGGATGATGGACTGAACTGGCATTCTTTTCACTGTATTTTCTATCACCAAGTCATTCTGGTTCAGCACACTCTGAGAATATAAAATATCTTATTGTACAACAAACTATCACAAAACATTCCTGTAACAGTATTTACATACCTTTATTTTTGGCATGCCATATATAACGAGAGCTGTTCCAGAACAGCAATTTTTGCATTTTGTGATATATGTTGTCGGTTGCGAGGCTGGTAGTGTTATTTTGAGCATCATTTCTTGCTATAATACAATATAGGTAACTATGTGAACAAGAGGATCAGAGAGCATATATCGTTCACAAAGATAATTAAGCAATTATGGGAAAGAGGACCAATCCATTTAAACTAAATTGAGACTCCTTTGCCAAAGGATGCTCTATACAAAATATGTTTCAATCCCTCCAATCGTACTGAAGGAGAAGGATTTTTAACATTTATCACTATGTTCCCTCCATGAGCTGATCGCTCTGCCCCCAAGGGGACCACACTCTCCATTTATACAATATTAAATCCCCCTTACCAAAAGATGCTCTGGACTAAATTTGGTTAAAATTCCCCCGATCGAAATGAAGGAAAAGGATGTTGAACACTAACATTATTTACGTTAATTTCCCCTATTGAACACCAATTTGTAGCATTTTAAAGGAAAAGGTGACAAGACAGATGCTGCACAAGCTCACCAGTCCTCTGGACCAGGTGAGCTGAAAATTGTCAGAATGTGAGGGAAAGCTTGCTTGTTTGCATCGCTCACCTTGTATCAATTTCACACTTGTAACCTTAAAAGCGATCTAAAATAAAGCCACAGGCAAAATATCAGTATTTATGACTGTAAGTCATTCAAAAGAACCTGTTAAAAAGATTTTAAAACATTTGCCCCCTGTGACCTTGAAAGCCGAACAAGGTCATTACGTTGAACAAACTTAGGTAGCCCTTCATCTCAGCATGCAACTTGTCAAATATTATAACCCTAGGCCGTTTGTTTATTGAGATTAGGTTATTTAACCCTTTGTATGCTGCATTACTTTTCATAGTAAACAATGCTCCCACTGAATTAATTTGAAGATATTTAATTAAAATTATTTCAATTTTAAAACCTACTTTATTGGCATTTCTGTAGCTCATACGTATTCAAAACCTATATGTTTTAGGAACCTTGTATTAAGACCTATCTAATTAACCTTAGACATTTTTTGAAAAGTTCCTATAATTACCTGTACAGGTGAGGGACAGGTAAAGTATTTGATAATTAATAGAATTTCTTTGTTATTCCCTTTAATTTTCATTAAAATGCAGTACGTGTTGACCTTTGATGACAAATAACTCTTATTCTGATATCAAACTTAATAACTATGACATTACCTGCTCATATACAGCTTATAAATGCCCAGGTAAGACAGGTGAACTCAAAGTAAAATGTTCAGTGTCTTGTCCATTGATAATAGCTCATCGTTTGTTCATATTTTTTAAATAAAGACATTCACACACTTTCATATTATGTTGATGTTTATTTGATATTAGTTAAATCAGTCATTTTATATACATATAACCATGCAGGTGTGTTAATTACAGGTAAGTCAATACTACGCGTTTTTGAGTCCGATTATGATTCTGTGCTGTCATTTTGGTCACAAAAACTTGGGTCTCTATTAAAGAATCTGTTGTCAATAATTATAAAAGAAAAGATTTCTCAATAATTCCAGTGAAAATTATCAGGCAAAATAATTATTCGAGTTCCGAGGCTGAGATGTCGGTCCCGAATCGACGTGGTCCCAACAAGATATCCTTTCGACGGCCAGTGCGTATGTATACGAACTAAAAAAATGAGTTCCTGAAAGCCACTATTGTACATCGAGAAACGGCCGTAGCGTACTTAATTGCATGGTCTTTCAGAGCCATAGCGTAAATTTGCGTATATTTTGTTTCTTCCCCATTCATGTTAATATAGAATAAGAACAAATGCGGGTAATGTAGTACGTTTAAGTACGTTTCGGTTCTTCTGAGAATGTTGAAGCGTATTTTAGTACGTTATGGCTCTTTGTTGCACAAGTACACAAAATACCCATTAAAACGCTACAGCGCTTTTAATCCAAATGCACTTTACGTCTATGTACGGTATGACTTTCCTTTTGCAAAACATACAATCAAAAATTCAATCTTCAATCAAAATTATACAGAGAAATGCCGGAAGTTTGGTTCTTTTTATATACCATTGTGATGAAATATATCAGGAAATGATTATTTTAGTCACAATCCTATAAATTGTGGTTTAATAAGTATTATTAAACTTTGTTTATAAACAATTGTGTCTTCAATACTTCAGTTCAGTCATTCATTCTACTTAGTTGCTTACATATGGGCATGTATCCATTGCCCAGTACACTTAGTCAACTACATGAACTATGACCTCTGTCTGGGTCTGTCATTATGCATACTAATTAGTGCGTGCTATATTTAGCTTCACTTGGAGATGCTGAGCTGACCTGTCCACATCTCCCTGTGTTTTTCATTGTTCGAATTGG